GTCATATTTGCATTAAAAATGACATAACTGAGCGAATGACACTTAATGACAGTTGTAATAAACATGCATAAAACCTCCTTCATATTCATGACATGTGTCATGTCATGATTATGAAGGTGCCATGTCAGTCTTATGCACACCCCTTCAAGTAAAGTGTTACCACCAGATCTTAGGTTTAAGTGTTTAAAACCTAATCCACTCTTCAACTTCAGCTGCCTTCAGTGAAATTTTATAATCCTAAATTTATGTTACTACTCACAGGGCGTGAGACACTAAGAAAGTCCAAGTCTGTGTTTTTATGTGTGTGAGGAGAGAGTTATGCAAGTTCATTGGTCATTAACAGTTTCTTCACCTCCAAAAGCCTCTCTACACTTCTCCAAATCTAAACATGCACAACTATTACCTTCATAAATCCCTGCTCTTTCTGCCAGAAACTCCCCCTTTCAAAAACAAAGTTCTCTCTCACTGTCACACGCGCACACACACACTCACGCAGACACGGCCATGGTTCACTGGTTCTGTGCACAGCCTTCCCTGTATCTTTTTGTCTGAGGGCCACCAGGTTTTGTTTTGTGAGGAGAAATAACAAAAAGCAACCCCCTATTCCCTGACCCACACCACCTCCTCGCCGCTCTAAACCCCTCACACGCATTCCACACAGTGCCCGGGTCAAAGGCCACGCCAACCACAATAACGAGTTAAAAAGGAAAGAGATGGACTGGGTGAAGTTCATTCACATCTCAAATCCAGCTCGGCAGAGAAAGTGGGAAATAGAGAGAGAGTTTGAGGAAAAAATGTGCTTTGGGGACTGTATTCTTTGTCTAAATGAGCTGAGGGATACTAATCACATGTATCTGAGGACAATTCACCCGACCTTTAGAGTTCTACAGAAACGTCTACAAAAACAGCATCAGCAGAAGCTGACTGTGAGGCTGACAGTATAAATATAACAAAGAGTGAAAAATTTAAGGGGGTCTGAATACTTTCCGTACCCACTGTATATAGCAGCCTGGTGCTGGATGTATTTTCTCAGGAATTTCCCATTTATTTTGAACATTTAAAAAGCCTTGAAACGAATCAACCACCATCAAGATTCATTGTTTCATCCAAAGAATTTTAAAATTTGAAAAAAAAAGAAAAAAAATGTTACAAACCCCTTTTTAACAGTATGAGAGTGTATGAATCATGCAAACATTGATATTTCTTTTGAGTAACTATTCATGAACATTAAAAAGTATGTTCTGTATTTTATGAATTTGTGTAGAATTAATGTAATCCGCCTGTAGCCCTGTACTACATCCATTATGTTGTCATTGTCATGTGACCAACCAGCATCAGTTGTGTGGCTTTGTGTCATTCATAAATCCTCTTCCATGGCCTTATGGGACAGTAAAGTGTCTACTGGATGTGCACTTCAGAATTTTGCCAGAAGTAGCTAAATAAATCCTGTTTAGCAAGCGAATGCAGAGAGGTGTGTAAAATGCTAAATTAAATGATCTATTCATAATCACACAGCAACATTTTTTTTTAAATAAAATAAAATTAATTGCTGAGTTATCAAAGGAGTGCCATTTGCAAATTATACATTTCTATATTTACTGTCTATATATTGTCTATATTTACAACCAAAACATTTGTCAGTCTCACACATAAAATAATCAAATGGAAGTTTTCACAGGTCACAAACTATCACATTACTGAACTTTTATAAAGACAAATTCAGTATAAAATGAATTTAAACCCTGCTTAAAAACAGCTAAAACCAGCCTAAGCTGGTTAGCTGGTTAGAGCTGGTCATAGCTGGTCAGCAGGCTGGTTTTAGAGGGGTTTTGACCACTTCTTTAGCTGGTCAGTCTGGGAGACCAGCAGGAACAACCAGCAAAACCAGCCTAGCCAGGCTGGGAGACCAGTTAAAACCAGCTTGACCAGCCTCGCCAGGCTGGGAGACCAGCTACTTCAAGCTTAGGCTGGCTTTAGCTGTTTTTTTCAGCAGGGAAGTGAGTGACTCGAGTTTTAAACTGCCCTTAAGTCTATATAAGCATATGAGCAGAAGCATAAAATTGTCTAACAATCTATCTGTGCTCACTGTAGGTCTGTCTTGAAAAGTTTTTACGTTAAATCAATTTCTCTATGGAGACTTTAAATGGGATTTTTACTTCCGGAAGCAGTCTGGTGCGGTTTATTGTCTGTATTGTGTGAGAGGACACAATCATGAGGGCACTTGTGTGAAAGACTGTGTGTACTTGTTGAAATAAGTGTGTGGGAGAAAGTAAGATAATTAAATGCTGTTGTGGTCTCTGTGCAGAACGTGTCTCGAGGAAGATGCTAATCTTTCAGGCTGTGTGTGTGTGTGTGTGTGTGTGTGTGTGTGTGAGACCTGTGTCTCTTAGCGAGGATGTCTGTTCTGATGGAATGCCGACCTAGAAACCAGAGCAGGGATAATCCTGACAAGATCACAAATCTCATTCTGTCACCAAAGGGATGATGTGTGTGAGTGTATTTGCAGTTGTGTAGGACGATAATGAAGATTACATTTTATTGCTCTGCTCCAAAACCTAGTGAGCTGTCTATGGAGACAGTATTTTTAAAGCACCAATGTTGCACTGCTGACGGGAATGTAGTTAACTTAGTTGTGCTGCCTTCTAAAAAATAAATTCTAAAATGCACCTATATTCTAAAGCAGCAGTGCATGTTTTTTTTGCAGTGAAGGTGATCCCAAAAATGCACTACAAAAAAATAAATTCAAGATGGCAGATGATACAAGAGAAATGTTGATTATAAATAAATCTATAACTCAATTTAACAATTTTATCCAGCACATTTAATTCAACACAATTATCCCGCTAACAATGTTTGGTCCCCGGAACGTTCTTGGAAGATGGAAAGTTCTGTGTTTGCTGAGTAAAAACTGACCATTTTGACTATTGTTTGTGCATCTTGTGTTTTCTAGGCTTATGAGTATTGTGGTTTTAGCTTAGCAGCAATTCTGTTGAAATCAATTGCAAATCCAGTGTTTGTGAACACTGAGAATAATTATTGGTTCCCAATAAAAACAACCAAATAAAAACCGTACACTAACATTACCGGAATGTTCTGTGTTTGCTCACTTAAAATGGACTTTTGCCTATAATTTGTGTGTACTGCCCTTACAAAAATTAACCATGGGTTTATTATAGTAAAAGTAACTTTTTTTTTTGGCGTATTGATTACCATTTGTATAACCACTACAAATACCAAGGTTTAAACAATGGTGTGTGTAGCAAAACCATGGTTAATTTGTGTGATCTTATGAATATTGTACTATTTGAATAACAACATAAGAATAACACAGTTAGAACGTTGCCTATGTAGGCAGTTGAGCTTATGTGTGTGCATGTTGCAAAATAACACACTTTTGCTAAATATTATGAAGAATACTAAGTGTGCATGCTAGTATTGATAGTATATGTGTGTATGTGATTCACTGATGGTACACAGATGGTGTGAAATCTGTTCATGTGGTTTAAAAAAAGCAGAGCTAGTCCTGGTATGTGTCAGAATATCAATAAAACTTTACAGCAGTGTGTGTGTTGACAGTTATGAAAATTCTGAAAGGGAGCCTTGTGTGTAACATTTAAGTTAGTGATTAATGTAAGACCAGCTCCGGCATATGTACAGGTCAATAAACAGAAGAATTTGAAGGGCGCACACCATACACACAAACGAAAAGATTCAGCGGTAACCTCTCGCCTCTAGCCAACCCTCCAATTCACTGGCGAACTCTCCGCACACACAAACAGCCGAACGAAAACAAACACAGGCACACACAGTTTCGCTATCTATGAGGCCCAGACGGACCCTCTCCCCTCAGGCGGCCATTAGCAGAGTGAAGGTGAGTTTCAGAGAAAGAGGAGTACACACTGTATGATACGACCTGTCAATCACGCGCACAGCCTCAGAGCAGTATGGTAAAAATGTTCTGCATTTAAATTTGCCTATAAAGTCATATTGTGCTGGAACCGCTTTAATAACGTCACGGATTTGGGCAGAAGCTTCTGTCGGTGGAGAGGTGTACAGATTCTGAATAAATATTTGAATTGAAAGGATCCGTTTAATCTCCTGGTGAATGAACCGAAAGAAAATGAATGATTATGAAACTGATAACATGTAAAAATATCTCGAATCAAAGCTTGTATGTCCACATGTGCTTGCACTTCTGTCTTAACAGCTTCGTCTCTGACAGCCTGTCAGTGGCCTGCTGGCGTGGATATTATTGGACTGAAAAACAACTCTATCACACTCTGCCAGAGTCTGTTTCAAGAACAAATAGACGCTCAAATGCAGCAGCCATCGTTTCTTATGACTATACTGTGAAGGGTCATGTGGGGTTTTGGTAGTGAGGGGTTTTTATGGCGCCTGTCAAAGTGCCCATTTGATTTAGTGCCCAGACTTGACAGGGGCAACACATCAAACACTGATATAGAGAGATGAACCAAGAAGGAAGACAGAACGAGTGAAACCGGGAGGGGAAGGGAGTGACTGTGCCATTAAAATGCCAGTGATGTCATCAAGCACTTATCACAAGCCAGCAGCGAACTGTATTGAGTGAGTGGACAAACAGAGTAACAACAGAGGTGAACACACAGTACTTCAAAAGGCCGGGCAGAGAGCGAGAACCCCTCAGATCATCTTGAGTGAAGGACTCCCACGCAGCGCTGAGGGGTTTTTCTCTGACCGCTTAACTTTGACCTCCAACCTCTTGGAAACCTCAGAAGAGTCTCCATCTGAAATAGTCGAACATCCGTCTTCACCTCCTCCACATGCGATCCCTGCTGCTCACATAAAAATGTAAATAAACCCCTCAAAAACAAACAACCGGGCGCTAAGGAGTTGCGATAGGAAGCTGATGAAGTGGAAGGAATGAAAAACAGTTTCTTTGATGCTCAATAAATAAATCAGATGGAGGTCCGAGTTCAGAAAAGACAAACATTTACAATCAGATGAACGGAGAAAAACAAAATAAAGAGGGGCGAATTCACTAAACAGTTGCAGTACTTTTGTGCCCAGTACACTCGGCGTCTCATTCACTAGCCACAATCCAGTTTAACAAGCGCTTTGTGCGATGGAATAGTATAAAAAAAAAATTCAGTGAATTATTAAAGCATTTTTTCAGTTTCAGCGCAAACATGCCTCCTTTCTATGCAAATTAGCCTTATTTTAGAATGCGCAAAACAACAGATCCAACTAAGCCAAAAAAGCTTGATTCTGCCAACTACACCAACAATGTTAGATTGTTCCAAAGCGCAAGGAATTTTGAATTCGGTGTCTTCACCAGATCACGTCAGAAGACGTCTGTTTTGTCTGGTACCCAAAACTGTCAAAAAAAAAAGCAATTAGCAATGTGCTAACATTTAAAAAATAAGTTTGTGTAAAGTTTCTAGTGATAAGGGCACGTTAATTCATCAAATGATGAAAAAAGCTTTTAAATGGAAACCTATCTAGACGCACAATGGAGTCGAAACTGTTTTTGGCATTTTAAAGAGTCAGTCAGTTGTCTGGATCTTAGCGATACGGTACAGTCCCAGTAAAGTATGCCAGATTGTGCTAATCTGCAATTCAGCAAGGTGGAGAATTGTGGCGTGGAGACGGTGTTTAGATCTTTTGGGTGTGCGTTATTATTGATACCGAATTTCCTTTAGTGAATGGACCACTAAAACAATGCATGTGCAAATAAACACACGCAATCAGCCAGTGCACTTTCTTAGTGAATTTCCCCCAGAGTGTAAAAATGTAAGAAGTACTTATAGTATTTATACAGGTATTCTTTTTTTAAAGTATGAATCACTCTCTACTGTTTGGTTTTGAGGATAAGCACAATAACCATCAGAAACCATTGAAATAAAGTTTCAACCATCAGAACGGATATTTAAATGCATCTCCAACAAGCGTGTGATGTAAATTCACTTGCACCTGAGTACATGTGAAATCCGTGATCCGCGCACAGAGACACACACGTGTAAATGAACGCAAACACGCTGCTATGACATAAAATCTGGATTTACCACTTTTCTAGAACTCAACTTCAGGTCCAAGTTTTAGTACCGCGAATAGGCTCTTAAATATAGAGTCACTTGGACACAGTGCATGTGTGTGAGGTACCATAAATTCAGGATGGGCTGTCTGCGTGTTCGCTGATCTCATACTTTGTAGTAAATATTGGCTGGACTCTGAGGGGGCATCTCTTGAACGATGTAGACGGGGTGTCCGTAATCACCACTGACTTTTTCGTAATGGGGGCAGTACGCCGAGTCAGAGGTCCGCAGGGGAATGATGATATCACTGGGCTCTGAGCCATTATTGTTGCCTCCGCCGACTCCCGTAGCTGCCCCGCAGGAGCTGCCTCTCTTTGGGGTAAGAGAGGAGAGCGTAAGGGCGGGGTGGTGAGATTCGGAGTGCTTGGCTTTCCGTCGGCGGTAACACACCACAGCAATCACTATGGCGATCAGGAGGATGAAGGCTCCCCCGGCACCACTGGTGATTAAGGCGATGTTAGAGACAGACACGGCCCCGCCGTCTTCCCTCTCTCCGGCCTCACTCCCATCACCCGCTTTAGAGCCACTTTCTGTATCTGAAACAGAAAAGAGCTGATAAATCAACGACCCGACATCCACTTGCAGGACTTCTGAAGCTCACTTGGTTTGTGGCTTTATCTTCTACGACAAACATCCTGATAGTATTTAGATTAGATTAGATTTAATCCATAACTAGCTTTGATTTCTAGCTTTGAGCTTGAGTTCAAATATGCCTCATGTTTGGCTTCAACAATGCTGGTACCTCAAATGTTTACTTTATGGAGATCAACCAGTGCAGTCTAAGCCTCCAAGAAATGAAATCAATTCAAAGAACGCTAGACAGTGCATTAACATGACAACAGATGCATATGCATATGGCATCAAGGTTAATACGTAAATGCAGTTGAAAGCAGACCCCATGGGATTTTCATCATTAAAATTGTTTACTTGGCGTCTTTCTGAGCCTTGGTTAACATTCTATTTCAGTGTTATTTTAGCTAGTTATTATTTATATACTATTATAGTATTTATTATTATTATTTTGAATAAACTTTCATTATTTTCATCATTCAATCATTTTGATAATTGAATAATAATTTGTTGTTTTTAAGTATTTAGATTTTTTAAGTATTTCTACACTCTAAAAAAAGACGGTTCTTTAAAGGTTCTTTACATGCAGTAATGGTTATATTTAGAACCATAGCATTCTGAAGAACCCTTTCATGCTGAAATGGTTTTTTTGTGTTTCAAATCTGTAACTGACAAAGCTCCTCATTACTGATTTTCTGGAGTTCAGTGATCCAACTACAGACTGTCAACACACTCTCAACAGGTAAATTATTTCATTCTTAAAATTTTAATACAAATTTAACTTTAAAAATGTAACTGGCTTCATATTGTAAGATTTTTTTTAATTATCACTTGGATTTATGCATAAACATACCCAGTAACAATAAATATTAAAACTATCCCATGACTTTATATCACTTTTTTCTTTTAAGATGCGCTCACAAACTGTTAATTTTTGCTTTTGGCCTTCATAAACAGAATTGTTTTACACAAACACATGGACACACTGTAACTCTAAACTTAATTGTGTATTTTAGATGTATCACACCACCTCATCATCTGCTGAGTGTCAAAATCGCTACTTAATCACACCAAAATGATGGACTTAAAGGCATCATATTGATTGGATTGTGATTGTTTCACTGAAATTTGGTCTTCATCACATCTATTTTTTGTTCTTATTTTGTGTTTTACTTCTTTATGTATTTATTCATGTTCAATGTCAATTGTCATTCATTAATGTATTCAGCTAATAACTGTTGTTAAGAGCACTGATAATTTTGCATGTCAATAAAAACATACTTAATTCACACAACATGCTGTTGCTGTGGTTATTGCTGTTGTTGTTTTAATGTAAAACCCTAACCGAGGCTACACTCTAAGATGCCTCATTACTGCTTTTCTGGAGCTCAGCCATCCAACTACACAGATTGTCAACACACTCTCAACAGGTAAATCATTTCTTTCTTAAAATGTCTATAAATTATAACTTTCAAATGCTAATTGGTTTCCTATGTCTTTTCTCTTTTTAGTTTAAGAGAACATGTGTGACCAGCTCTGTTCAGTAAGGATACTCTCCTCTTCTTTACTAAGTAAGTAACAAAGATATTGGGTTTTTGGTCAATTTTGTTAGATATGTTTTATTACTAGGGTTTATGCATAAACATACCCAGCTATCCCTTGACTTTATATTACATTTTCCTTTTAACATTGTGAAATGCTCACGTACTACTTTTGGCCTTCATAAACAATTGTTTTCACATAAACAAATGAAAAGAGACACATTGTATATCTAAACTCAATTGTGCATTTCAGATGCTGTCACGTCCTACAACCTCATCATCTGCAGAGAGAAACTGCCA